CTAGCTGACATACCCGTTCAATGCACAGGGAAGGCAGAGGGGGGGCCCCGGGGGGGGAGTGACATAGTGGGGTCAGACCGGCTCCTATGCTACTTTTCTGGATGTCCTAAGGGTATCTTCGTATTTTGTAAAGATCAACATAATATCACTGGGAACACATCGAGACCCTCGAGGAGTGATATGTTGATTCCCCCTCCCCCCAATGTCAGGGTTTGTGTTGGCGGATATTCTCCAATACCCAATAAATTAATTTTAAAATATCGACAGAAATGGTGCGTTGTGATGTCGATACGTTTATCATACAATGATAATAATAGGGCTAAGTGCGTTTCACGTGTCAATAGTTACTCCAGCATCCTATAGAAAACCATCTAAAGTTAGGTTATGTCATTGCTTATAATTATTGCTTGTATTGAAAGTGGGCTGCATGTTTAATATACGATCGGTAGTATCTTTACATGAAATATCTTAATCAAATATACCTTATTGTAGTAACTGTAATAGATTTTAGTAAAGTATTTTATTAGAACCTTCGACTGCGTAACTGTATCCTATGTAATCGTGAGCAGATACCATCCACCATGCAGGGAGAAAAAGGGCCAATCTTGGATCTTAACCTCTCAGATAATCCAATCTTGATGTAAAACACGACCCAGAACAACTATGTGAGTGATGTTGGGAGGTTAAAAGCCTATGGCTGTTACCTGTTAGCAGGTATTAAACTTTGTTATCATGGAATAATTGTTTAAGTAAAGCAAGTTTTTGAAAATTCGCATGGTTAATACTAATTTTAATGTACGAATTATTTTTAAATCATACCTTGAAAATTATAGTTCGTAAGAACGTGATAATACATATTTATAACCTAATATAACTTAAAGCATCGAGGAGAAAAATACCAAGTGCATAACTTATAACAGAAGAAATCCTAAGTATGTTTAAATACACAAGAGTAAATATCTTAATACGCATGATCACAAAATACATCTTGGCATATAACCACTATATGCATAACATATGAACATTACTAGAAACATCTTGGCAGAGATACGCAATATAAAGCATCTTAACTACTACGCGAAGTATCTTACCACTAACTGGAGTACCAGTCCGTTGTACAAGTGAAATAAAAACTCGTAACAACGGATAGGAAACTGTTCTTCTATATATATAAGTGCATTAAAAGTGCAATAACAATACGTAAATACTGAAAATGAAAACCTACTGTTTGCAAGAATTCTATCAATATGAAATTAAATGGGGGATCCAACCCCTCGTCGTCATGTATCACTGAGTTTGGTGCTGATTGATCAAGAAATGTTGAAACGTACAAGGAACACACACACACACACACACACACACGCACATGATCTTCCTCATGTTATCCTGTATAAAGTTTGCTGATTGATCAAGAAATGTGAGAACGTGTAAGGAACACACACACACACATACATACGTACATACGACCTTCTTCATGTTATCTTGTATAAAGTTTGCTGATTGATCAAGAAATGTGAGAACGTGTAAGGAACATACACACACACACACGCACGCATACACACACATACATACGACCTTCTTCATTTTATCTTGTATAAAGTTTGCTAATTGATCAAGAAATGTGAGAACGTGTAAGGAACACACATACATACATACACACATACATACATACATACATACATACATACATACGACCTTCTTCATGTTATCCTGTATAAAGTTTGCTGATTGATCAAGAAATGTGAGAACGTGTAAGGAACAGGTACACATAAACATGCTGGCGTTTATTTATATTGGTATATTGCGAACCGTGGTGTCTGTCAAAGCGTTCGTCTGTCCCCTGTTTGGAAAGCTGCGCACGCACCCAAAGCTCAGCGTTCATCTTTGAAATGACCAGAGAACAGGCACGAATAACGTAGATTCCAAATTCTACACTAAATAGTTAGGAATTCATAACATTATCATTCACATTTCATAATGTGAGGTAACTTAAACAATAAAAATATAGATTTACCATATGTTATTGTTGAGTGGCTCTTAGCATGACTGAAATACTCAACAACTACTTTTCAAGGTGGGCGGTATAAGTAGCTCAGAGCTTTAGCTCTTAGTGAAACCAATAGTGCAACACAATTAACATTTTTGAAGCCCATGAAATAATTTAAATTGACAGAATAACTTTTCCCGTCACTGGGGACGGGTACTTTTGTTTGTACACAATATAAAGCATCTTAACTACCAGACGAATTATCTTCGCGCATATACACAATATAAAATAGCATAACCAATACACGAATTATTTTCGCGCATATACGCAATATAAAGCATCATAACCAATACACGAATTATCTTCGCGCATATACGCAATATAAAACATCTTAACACGCAGCCACTACAAGAAGGATCTATCACAAAAATGTCACGATTGTAATGCATGTTGAAATTCAGACCGAGGTGAATCACTCTTGAATGTTTCCAGATCACTAACAGATATCCCACTAATTCAACATGTCGGAGAAACGTGTTCAAGATGCATGTCGTTAATTTAACGTTTTTCATGAGCTTGAATTATACTGAATCTTACCGAATACCTTGTGAAAATTATTTAAAACGCAATTTCATCATTTCTGTGTATAAGTTATCTCTTTTATCCACAATTAGGAATCACTTGCTTTAAATAAATAAAACTAATTACGTGTGGAATGCAGAATAAGAATAAAATTTGTATAAAGAATTCCAGATAGACTTCACTGAACTTGGAAAGTCGTCATGTACTCAATGTGGTCTTAAAAACAGCCGTCATTTTCACGACGCGTGGCCTACTCGGGTGGCACGCCCCCTCTAGGCTTGCGTGCGTCTAGTCTTTCGTCTCCCATTCATGGTTGGGTGATGTGACTCAGTCCATTCAGAATGATTATATCAGTTGGTAGAGGACGAAGGAAGTCATAATCTCTGTATCTTGGCTGTTGAGAGAGTTTTTGGGCCTTCCTTTCATTCCAAACGTCATATTCAGAGTGCGTGTTTTAGTAAAGACTGCGAAACTCGCGAAGTTTAGCCGGGTTAAATCTTCACTTTTGAACATGTGCAAAGCGGCTTAGATATTAGTGAATAACTATTGATATAGTATGTAGCACAAACGGACGTCGGATTTTCTGCCACTACGATGCTAGTGTTGGCCTTCTTGTTGGTATATGTGCCATCTTGGAATGTACATGTAGTTACATCCACGGAGTGGCTTAAACGTTGGATTACAACTTGAACCTGTTATTTCTTCTACCTTGTAGCTTTCAATCTGTATTATACGTACAATCTAATTTACTTCCCAGCTATGTAGATTTTTTCCAAACCGGATAGTTGTTATGGAAGCCACGCAATAAAATATTTCAAGTAAATTTTAAACACGTTAACTAAACGGCTAATGACGTTTAAATCGTGCCTTCTGGTGCATTTTCTCTGCCTGAAGTTACCCGAAAAATAGTCAATAAAACGTATCCAGAAGAAACAAGATGTGGAAGTAGGAAGAAGAGAACCGTTAGGGATCGGAAAGTGTTGAGTCCTAAATTTAATTTGTTTCGAGGTATTACGTGTTTCTGATATTTATACGTAAATAACTTAATGCGATCCATGTCATGATCCGCTCTGAAAATGCATGATTGGAATTTTTATATAATGTAAGTGAAGAAGGCTTTGCTGTAAAAATGTGTAGTTATATATACACATTTTTACAGCAGAACCTTCTTCAATAGCTTTAACTTTGGTTAAGAAATTAAGCTTTTATGAATTAAAAGGTATTTCCATAAAGAACACGTGACAGAATTGAACAAATGTAAAATTACTCGTTTAACTTAGAATACTGGAATTATTAATAAAAAACGGCTAGAACAAGACATTTCAGAATCAAGATGTATCGCATGTAAAATACGTTATAACAAAACTCATTGACGTAGGCTTCTTTTATATGTCAACAGAATACGTTGTTTTATTATTGATGGTGTACAGTACCATTAATTGTCGTGTTTTTGGTGTCGTTTAATTGTGGTTTTTGTTATATTTCACTAGAACACCGGACCCAGGTGCCACCATTGACCCCAGGAACCAATCAGAAAATGACCCACGCTTTGACAGCTAGTTTTGCAAACTGGCAGAAAGAACAACAGAATAACCTAATTTCTAAAGGTAAGGAATGAACCCTGTGTTTTATAGGGTTTACATTATGCAAAAGAGTAATTTTTGTCTTTGCTTAAATCTGTGTTGATTTGTGGTTAAAATAGTAAAATTGAATAATAGAACACTGTCACTCGGTGTTATTGGAGAAGACACAAGGTAGTGGATGGTGTATAGGAATAGAAAGAAACCATCCTCTAGATCTGTGTTAATTTGTGGTTAAAATAGTAAAATTAAATAATAGAACACTGTCACTCGCAGTTATTGGAGAATACACAAGGTAGTGGATGGTGTATAGGAATAGAAAGAAACCATCCTCTAGATCTGTGTTAATTTGTGGTTAAAATAGTAAAATTGAATAATAGAACACTGTCACTCGGTGTTATTGGAGAAGACACAAGGTGGATGGTGTATACGAATAGAAAGAAACCATCCTCTAGATGTCTAAAATAAATTGTATAACTGTTAGAATACGTTTATTACAGTAAATACATATATTAAATAATACAGCATAAATCCATTGCAATAATGTTAACACGTAGTAACATGCCAATATTTATTCATGTGTACCTCCTAATCAAAGTGTGTGTGTGTGTGTACGTAATTAAGATGTCTAAAATAAATTGTATAACTGTTAGAATACGTTTATTACAGTAAATACATATATTAAATACTACAGCATAAATCCATTGCAATAATGTTAACACGTAATAACATGCCAATATTTATTCATGTGTACCTCCTAATCAAAGTGTGTGTGTGTGTACGTAAAGAGAAGATTTTTAAAAGTAATTATTGAAGCTGAAACAAGTTCAAACTTATCTCGGTCATGTGTGGCATGACTTGTATACATTTCGTCAAAATATAAGAAAATTTGAGAGAAAATGTTAACAAGGCCCCTTACTAGCCTGTGCTTCTTAGTATTATTCTTTCTTGATGACTGACCACTCACGTGACCTTTTCCAGTTACAAGCTTTGAGAACGTGCCTTGACGTGTGCTATCCATGTTAAACGTTTTCCTGTTCTAGGACGTTTTTCTCTTGTAACTAAACGTACGTGTGCGAGAATACGTGAAAAATAGTTGTTCGAGAATTATTACAACATATTTTCCTTAACAAGTTACTTAACGTTAGTAAATACCAAGAATTACTAAGGACCTCCAGATTATATTCGCAGTAAAAGGGTTCGTGCAGGTTAGTGTATTTTTTTATTATTATTATTATTCGAATGGAGCGTTGTCTTAAATCAGATTGAATTAAGTTTATTTTAACGAAGGATT